TAAACAATTTCCTTATGGCAATCAACGTAAGAAAATGACAATGGCTACATTCTGATTGGCGAACTAAGAACTCTTTCTTGAGTACTATAACTACACTTTACAACAGAGTATCACGCTAGTGTTGAACATCGGAGTACCACAGGGTTATGTGCTTAGCCCCCTCCTGTTTATGCTATACTCAGACGACTGTAACTCTCAACATAAAGAATACTCTGTTAAAAGTTTGTGGCATCAAAACCTTTATTGTCTGGATTACAAACAACAACGAGGCTCATTTTAGGTTGCTGGGAATTCTCATCAAAAACACCCTGACACGGTCATACTACTACATCTCAAGCCTAATAAAAATAAAGCTCAGAAATGGCAGAAGAATTCCTGTTAAGTTTTTATAGAAGAACAAAAGAGACATAATACAATAGATTGAGATGTGCACAACCTACAACTGTAGGGCTCTGTATGATTAAAACTAGCCGAAACATCATTGGTGGTTGTTCCCTGTGTTGTAGAATGACAATAAACAAACATTTAAGCCATTGTAATTGTCGAAAATGAGACTGTAAACATGAGTTTTTTTGCACATTTTGTAAGTAAAAAATCACAAAAGGTCCTGAAAGATACTCGGAAAGGCATATTTTCTTCCGACTTCAAATCCAACCTAAACATCCCCTACAGGCAGTGAGACACACATTGCCAATTGTAGACCATGTGCAACATTATCTCAAGGCAACACTCACAAAGTTTGAATACATCTGCGAAAATACGAAGCTCTTCATAAAACATTTTTTCAGCCAATCTGTTGGCAAAAATCGTAGTGACAGTTTGTGCCTTCAGTGTGAAAATCTTTTTAATTCCCCCCTTGGGCAACAATTAATTCCAGAAAGTTTATTCCTCATATTCAATTGGAAGAAAGATGCTGCTTTAAGCCTTAAGCTAACCCTCAGTGCCAAACAGATTACTACAATACTCCACACAGCATCCCATAGGTCAACAGCAGCCATGTAACATTTTTGGAATATCTCTAAAAAGAACCTGGATATGCTATCTGTAGTACCCCTTTAGAAACCACTTCAGCATGATAACACTTCATTCAGGTTTCTGAACATTGTTCACTCATACAGAGCTTAACAACTGAGATGGTGAGAAAGAAAATAAGAAAATATAAAAAAGCTCCCAGGTATTCCGGACCAAATATATCATACTATAATATATGATAAGTCATTCTGTCTGCACAGCACTTAGGGAACCTAAAGTTAAACAGATGTTAGTTTTGGCATCAGATTGATGCAAATATATCCACAGTGTAATACGATACACTCAAATATTATATAAACTATTCTATATTTCACATAATGAACCTGCTGGTTGATGCGAAGGAAGCTGACATTTTCACGTTGAAAGACTTCCATGCAAGACGTGGCAATATGTCAGCCAGGGGAACATGATGCCGAAAATCTATAGGTTGGAGTAAATTGAAAAGGCCCTTGGCGACTGGGCATCGTTTAAGCTCTGCCTCTCTGCCAAGCAGCGCTGGGAGATTTATTTGCAGTATTTTAACCGCTGCTTATACAGCCACCTTGTGTCTTTTACCTCCTTGAAATAATAAACCAATCTTATGTTTGTATGGATTTACAGAACTGGCTGGTATTAAGTAGATGGGAAACACAAAATAGAAACAGATAGTATATTAATAAATAATATACCCATCTTCAAGTCAGACAATCCCAGGGTGTTACCTCCTGCCTTCATTGCTGCAGTTTGGTTTACACTGATGGAAGTACAAGTGAAGCCATAACAGGGCGGCAAGGTAATCTGACGGTTAGCTTAGCACTGTGTTTAAATGTCAAGGCAAACTGCGTGTACATGTCATTCATAAGAAAATACACTAATATAGAAAATTAGGGGTGGAACAAATATGGATACACTTGAGTATTGCAAAATTATGTCTTGTGTTTTCTGTATGGATTCTCGAAAACACTATCTGCAAAGGTAAAAATCCCTGTGTTCCTCCAGAGGGAGTTTCTCTCCCCCCCAGTTCCTGAAACAACTCCATTGGACTCCTTTGTTTACTTCCGTAACATAATGACTTCACCATGTGACACTCGTGTTTTTATTGGCTAACGCTCCAACACATTGTATGTTTTGACATCAATGTTTTAATCAATTAAAAAGTATTGCACAACAAGTCCAACTATGATGTTGGATGTTACAGGGAATGTAATCATTGCAAATGCAGACCCCAGTGTTCTGATTGCATGAAAAATAAAGAAAAAAATGTGTTAGTTGCATTACAATGTGCCTGAGGGATGCCTGCAGGCTCCCCTAGCTCACTTTGGTTCTTTTAAAAAACAAAGGCTGCTAGTAGAAACACAAAACACCTGGTTATTGAGGATTTAAAATAATAGTTCAGGTAAAACATTATTAAACAACATGTAAAAGCAACCTCCGGGCCAAACTCCGGGTTCTTATATTATTTGAATCTTGAACTTGAAGTATACGCATTCATTCCAGTTAGCTGATTCTTCTGTTTTGTAATAATCAATAGAACTACAGAGCCATTAGTTATATTAAAATAACCGGCAGACAGCTATATATAGCTCAAGTAAAAAATATGACCTCAAATTAGCTGCCATTTCATATAGAATCCATGCATTTGCTCGCGCTTGGAAGACCAGCTTGAGAAAAATTGAATTGAATTACGCAATTTGATCCTAACATCTTGATCGTCTTTTCTTATGAATTCTCTCCTTTACCTTGTGATGTTTTATATGTACAGTATATGATAGGGGTTAGGGATATACTTTTGTTATCACCTTTTTAGACCACAGCTCCCAGTTAAACAGTGGTACAAGCTGGTATTTACTGTAGGGCTGCTGAGACTTCAGAGCACAGGTGTAACACTGGATTGTCCTGGACAGATCCAGTTTCCTCCTGAATATAGAAGCAGATATATTAGTCTGCATCCTTAGGTCACTGAGTAACTGAAGGTGTTCAGATAATAGGGTTTACCTGAGGCTCCATGCTGCAGGGCAGTGATGCTCTGTCTCCATGGCTACAGAAGCTGCATGTCGGTCTGCGACTGGTTTTCATCCCCGGTTAAAACGACAGCTTTGCTCCACATCCAGAACCGCAGTCCAAATCTCTCCCAATGTCCCTGCTGTATCTCTGCAGGGGGGTGAGTTCCTACCCAGTCACATCATCAGTTGTTGTGACAGTTCTACAGCTTTGAACATGTCTGGGACTGGTGGGAGAAAAAACCCATAATAAGTTGTTTATGGAGGCGTGTGGCGCAGTGGATAGAGCGTTGGTGTTTGGAGCAAGGGAGCACAGGTTCAAACCCCACTGCAGTCAGCATGTCGTTGTGTCCCTGAGACACTTCACCCCAAATTGCTCCTGTGGAGATTGCCCACAGTATTGAGTATGTAAGTCACTTTGGATAAAAGCGTCTAACATGTAATGTTTATGTTACTAACATTGTCTAATAATATGGCTCTTATTATTAGACAATGTTAGTAACATAAACATTACATGTTCTCAACACTTTTCTAGCACCTGTTACCTTAGTAATCAAGTATATATTAGTTGTTGTTTGTGTTTTTGCCATACTCACCCCCTCAGCAGTGACAGATCCACACTCGGGGGCTTCAGGTCCCCGTTCTCTCTTCAGAGGACATCAGACTGCCTGTCACTCACTGGGTTTGGGAAAAAGAAGCCTGTCTGCAGAGAGGTGCCTCTCATTAAAAATGGATCCAAACAGGTAGAGCAGCTCCTTCACTAGCGCTAGTTGAGCTGCAAGAGGACACCCACTGTAGAGGAACCCCTCCCCCACCCTCTCCCTCAGGGAGCCTATACACCTCGATACAGGAGGCCTTGAAGAGCAGCACATCATTAGCTCCGTTTGCCAGCTGGAGGTGATGTCTTCCACTCTGCAGCAGGTCCCTTGCTGGTGGGGTTAGCAGGACAGATTCTGCACAAGGTGTACTTCTCTTTGAGCCGTTTGAAATCACTCTGTTCCAAAGTTGTAGAGTAACTGGAGGCAGGAAAAGCTGCACAGATGATGTTCTGAGACACCTCCTGGTAAAGTGCTGTGTGCCGTGACAAAAGTATAACTTGAAGGTGCTGTGATTGTTAAACTCGGCTCTTGGGGTGTTGGCCAGGTTCCCGGAGGTTCTGCTCAGATGGTCGCGAGGTCTTCCAGCAGTACGACAACAGGTGCTCTCCTTTTTTGGTCAGGTAGAAAACAACGCACTGTCATAAGTTCTTAACAAAAAGCATGAGGGGATCACATTGAACATTATATAGAAACAATGTGTTTTTCTGTTGCTTTTCTGTACAGATCTTTAGAGTTAGAAGTCCAGGCAAAACATTTTCGGTATGGAAATGAAATGATTGTTAAAAAAAATTCCATTAAAACGTATAAACTCTTATGTCTCTTTACGAAATGAGCCTTATTATATTAACAGTAAAACCAATCTGAAACGCCTCAATGATTTTGCTGCTGGTGCAATACTATGCGCTGTGTTGCACTGTCTGAAGATGAAAGACCTGTCCTGCCAGACCCTGCTTTGTGTATTAAATCAATGTTTAAAGTGTGTAGACAGACAGGGGTTGTTGCTGCTGCTGCCCCCTGGTGTTGGAGCACTGATTATATCTCGTATATTCAAATTTATTCAAAGGGGGTTTGATTGATGATTGTTGAACATGTCATTCAAACACTATAGGCATTGCTCTGCAGCTAAAACAGCCGACACTCCCAAAGGAATTTGAATTTATTGAGGTTTGGACACACTCTTGTGAAACCATTTCTCCTTGGACCTCGCTTAAGACCGTGAAACATGGATGCCTACAAGGAGAGAGACAGCCAGAAAACATGCATCCTGCAACCATTTGTAAAATAGTAAATGGCAATATTGGATGGAGATCTGGAAATAGTTTGAATGTTCTTCAGGTTTATCAAAAATGAAAGCAAAATGTATTATTCACATCAAAATGAAGTCCAAACCCTTCGTTGAAAATCTTTATTCAAAAATGGTGTAACCAGGAGGACAGTTTGCATTTGGTGAACTTTGCAATAAGCCACAACTTGAGTTACAAAGTGCTCCATCGACATCTGTACAGTGAACATGGATTTGTATATAGGACAGATAAAAGACAAGAACTATGAAAAGTGCATCATCATGAGAAACTGCCAAACTGTATCCGCTCTGAAAAGAAAATAACCCAATAAAATAACCACTTAAATGAAAATGAATACAGGCGTGTCAGCATGTCTCCAAAGCAGATGAGTTATCAACTTGCAGGCCAACAAACTGGATCTGTCATCATGCAGAGAAGGCTTTTATCTTTAGCATGGCTCAATGAGGGTATTGAACCAGCAACAATTATATTATCCATGTCTTTGGCCCCTGTGTCTAAAACGGATTCACAATGCTGCGGTTCTTTCACCCACATCCTGTAGAAGAGTAGAGTTGTCATGTTGCTATGGCTTGGATTCAGTCATAATTACATCATTTGTCAGATTTAGCCAATAAGCTTATTTAAGATAGGAAAAACTAAAAGCTTCTTACCAAAAGTACATCCTTGTGTTTCACAAAACCTTTGAAATTCTAATACAACTTCAAGAATCAATGTACCACTTTTATATATTAAAAAGGTTCTAGACAGCCCAATTTCCGTAAAGTGAAAGAACCATCCGTGCAATAATAATCAGAACTTGAAATGGAAAGCAAAGTGAATGAAATAGCTTCTGTGGGAGCTCTCTGTGGAGCTAAGTGAGCCATTTCACGTCTTTTATCTTTTCCGTTACAATCAGCCTCGTAACACAAAATAGTAATCATGAATATCTGTCGTAAAGGCGGATTTGTGCTAATGAAAAGAGAGGCAATCGTATACAGAGAGCAGAGCATTTAACAAAGTGAAAACTCTGAAAGTCACTGCCTTTTTCATTTCATAGTAAAGCAGCTTTTTATCTGATCCTTTCTGCGTTCTGACTCCACAGATTCTAGATCCCTCGTGGATTCAGGATATACAACAACTCTCAGGTTTAACAATCTTCCTTCCTTCATTTTCATAAACATTAAAAAAAAACAAATTCAGATCAAGCAAAAAAACGAAGCTGTGGTTGTCCAAAAACATTTAACATGACATCAGTGAGCCACACTTTTGCACTGGGTTCCTTCATTACCATCAAACACACACTGTGGTTCATCTTGAGTTGATCTCACATATACAAAATACACAAATAGAGAACATGTGTATTAATCTTACACTGTAAATAGAGCCCAACAAATATGATGTTCTCCTGTTTGAGTAAGGTTTGATAGAAACTAGTGTCAAGCTGTTATAGGGAATTCCTAAGCCTTTAAAAATAATAGTTGACGACATATTTTGTGTTATGTTTTTGAAGATGAATATCTTCAGTAGGAACAAAGGGTCTTGGGGTACATTCCCTCAAACGGGTTGAAGAAGTCAGAGTATTAAGAGTCTGACCAACATCATTTTTTCTTTGTGGGCAATAAGAAATATTGGAATACCGCCATAATAAGTAAAAAAGGCTTCTGGCAGATTATCTTTTTGTAAAATGCTATTGAGAATTCAACACTCTCACCAAATTGAAATTGGTTTAAGAGGTATGGCTGATTTCCAAAGAGTGTTTGAGTTTGGCTTGTTCACCCACGTGTGTGACTTTAGTATTTACTCACAACGCCTCCAGCCACTTTTAGATTTTCCTCCTTAAAGTAACAAAATCCATTTACACTACATTAGATGATACAGGGCCTCATGACAGTTACAGGGCCTCATGACAGTCACAGGGCCTCATGACAGTCACAGGGCCTCATCATGAGAGTTACAGGGCCTCATCATGAGAGTCACAG